CAGGACATAGGAGTGGCGCCTGCCTTATGAGATGCCCTCCCCAAGATCCGGAGGGTCTTCCCACCTGGCTCTTCCTCTACATTTGGGTCAAGATGGGAGTTAGGCCCAGCAGTTTTTATTTAAGCTTATGTTATATAAATGAGCAACCACATACCCCCCCTCTGAATGTTTCATCTGTGCAAAGTAAAACAGAACTAACTGTTCCTAAGATAACAGGCAGATTTGCTGAATGATGGAGGCCCATTCTGTTCAGTTCTGCTTCTCTTCCCATGTACACCTCAGAAATTTAATGTGCTGCATTAACGCTGGATCATATACTGCAGGGGTGTCAAACTCAATTTCATTGAGGGCCGCATCAGCATTGCGGTTGCCCTCAGGGGGCCGGATGGGTGCAGCCTACTGGGTGGGCGTGGATGGAGTGGGTGTGGCCTACTGAGTGGGTGTGGCCAGCTCTACATTGTTTGCGTCAAGGGTGCCTGTGGGGGTCTGGGCAGGAGTGGGACAGATCTGAGGGTCTCTGGCAGAAGGGGGTGGGACCAGGGCAAGTGCCAAGGCATGGTCCACTGGAGGAGCCTCACTGTTCCTCTCAGGCAATGCGGGGGGGGGGGGGCTTATGGAGCTAAGACTGAATGCGTTTCAGCATAGATGGCCACCACAAAATTGTACATTGGCTCCCAGCTGGCCTGGGCCAGGGCCAAGGCAGAGGGGGCCGTTCCCTCACTGTTTCCAGGATGGCTTTGCGGGCCACATGAAACCACTTCGCGGGCCGCATCCAGCCCCCGGGCCTTGTGTTTACATGTCTGATATACTGCATTAGAAATATTAGATACATAAACATTCTTTTGAGTATACTGTCTAAGCTCTGGGTGCAAAATCAAATTTATTATTGCAATTTAAGATCAGCATATCAAAAACAGCCAAACACCAAATACCCGAGGTTCAACTTTTGGGGTAAAAGTCTAAAGAGTCATTTCCAAAGTACAAAGGTCTTGCAGACTTGATAGTAATCTGCCATACAATTTTGAGTCAAAAGTACACCTCACTGTATTACAAATCTGAGGGGTTAATGTCTCAAAAGTCTCAATAGACTTTGTCCTCTTTCCCTCCTTCTGTATCTCAAATAAAAGATCCACCCTCTGCCACTCTTTTTGAAGCAATTAAAGCAGTTATGTTCTGGGAAAGACTCACAGCTCTTCAAAAGGTTTCCCCAGTCACATGGGAATTCCCATTGGAAATCTCGTCTGTGAATGTACACATATCTGTAGAAATCATGACACCCTTTGAAGCAGCTACACACTCATTCTAAAAGATGTGGCAGATTTAACCCCTTAGTTAAAAGAGTATTTTACTAATGCTAACGTACTTTGCAAAATAATTTTGCTTTGAATGGGCAAAGCACCACTTTGATTGCTTTGTTCAATCTTGCCAGCCAGGCTTACATTTCTTAAAGTACTTGGATTTCTTAAGAATACAGCAGTCATTGTCTTCAAATATGATTATAAATTAAAATAAAAAACACCCCCTACCCCGTCATTACTTTAAGTTACCTGTCAGTTTATGGGTGGAAATTTGCTCATATTAGGGTTTTATTAGCATTAGGATGTGCGTAATGTTAAAAATATAAATATTAAAAAATAAAACAAACACATTGTAAGCGCAAAGTATATATTTATATCATGTAAAACAAAAAAAGCAGTGAAAAATGTATTACATAAAAGAAAATAATGTAACAGAATTTTCTAGGATATCTAACATAGGCATGCTCTTACACCTAAAGAAAATATAACATTTATAACTATATATATTTGAGAGTTGTGTTTCAGAGTTCTCTAATAGAAAACGTCTTAAAATATAGAAGTTTTTCACCCAAAGGAAAAAGTGTCACTTTAGACAAACGTACAAACCCGCCTCTTGTATAAAAAGTCACTCCCCCCCCCATGATTGCAAGTGAAGTCATTTTAATATGGATTTTCCATATGTGCAAAAGATAGGGTACCATTAATTGCTCTTAACCTTGCATTGCTTGAGCTCCAACACTGATTGGTACAACTGTGAATCCACATGATTTATCGAAACAGTATAGTTTTCAAAATATGTTGTCAAACATACACAAGAATTCATAAGCTTTCATTGCATTTTGAACACACTGTACTTAAAAAAATATCTAGAAGCCATAAAGTTAGGACAGTAAATCTGTTTAAATATATACACCAGTCAATACAAAATACTACCTATAACACTTTTTTTTCTTTTGCATTTCAACACCCTAAAAGGAGTAAGCCACTTTGTCAAATGATAGATTTGAATAAAAAAATGTGTAATAGCATCTAGTTTGTTTTTCTTCTGCCAACAGTACAAGTGATTGCTAAGGCACATTTCCCACTAAAATGTAACTAGAGTTAAGTATTGTACAGACGGCTTAGTGTTAAGAAAAAATCAAGAACAGTTTTAGGTAAGTAATTCTCTAGCAGTGCTACTCAAATATAGTTTGAGCTGTGTAGTGTAGTGTAGTGTACAAGGAAAAATGAGAAAAAAAATGTTCCAACTTTAAAGCTGTAACCAGATAAAGCATCCCAAAACTATTACTGGGTACAGGAATTCAGAAGTTCCTATTTGATATTCAAACAGGGGCACATGGTCCTCCCATGTATGGAAAAAAAACCAATCCAAATGCAAGAACTCTGAATTTCTCACCTTTTCTCCCGTCTGGAACACTATTTGAATCAATTTAAAGTTAGTTTCAGTTGGCTTTCAAGTATTTCTTGGAAAGGGTAGGGAAGGAATCTTCTTAATGGGACTGAGAATCTGCTCACATGATCCCACTCACATGTTCACCGACTTGGAAGTTGATATGGCATTGCAGAAGAAAAATAATTCATTAAGCTGTGGCTTTTCGGCATACATAAAACTGAAGGCTGCAACTGTTAACTTCATCCTCGTGTCAACTAAAAAGGGACACATTGCTAAAAACCCAGCATTACACATCTTGACTTCTCTTCCATACACCCATAAAATCTTTCCCAAAAGAGCAGATCTCTTTAGAGCAGATTTTGAGGGTGAATAGCTGGTGCCCGAGGGAGAGGGCATTTCCTGTTTCACAATACATCAAATGGAAATAATTTTTACCAACTTGAGCAAAGAACTGGACTCTGTCCATTTTTTAAAAGCATGTCCTAGTCCAGTGGTGGCGAACTTATGGCACGGGTGCCAGAGGCGGCACTCGGAGCTCTCTCTGTGGGCACACGTGCCGTTGCCCCAGCCTTGCTTCCGCCCACGACCCCCTCACCAGTAGCCCCCCTGGAGGAGAGTCGGCCCCGAGCATGGCACACATGGAGCAACGCAGCCAAGGACATGGCAGCGTAGACAAGACTTTGCCCTCACGCCCCAACACGTACAGTTGACGCTGCGGGGTGCAGGCAGAGGGCGTGGCCGCCATGGCACTGCTGGGCTGCCTAGGCAATCTGTGGCGGGCCCTGGAGGCGATGAGTGGCCCCGCGGGCAGGCAGGGTAGAGCGAAGCGGGGGTGAAGCGGGGGCGGGGCAGGGGGTGGAGTGGGGGCGTGGCCAGTTTTTGGGCACTCTGTCTCTAAAAGGTTCGCCATCACTGTCCTAGTCTGAAAATTATACACTGAATTTCTGGTTTAAACTTTTCCTGATTGTTATATTATAAACTCTTGCAATAAAGACAACAAATTAATGGGAATGTTGACAGACCTTTAAGGCACTTATTGGTGCCAATACATTTAAAGAAAAAAAAAAGGCATCCTAGCTTATATTTCAACATGGGCATTTTGTTCATTTAAAATACTCTTTGGAATATCACAGTTCCTACAGACAACTTTGAGAATAAACCATTCCTGCTAAAAGCAAAGTTATAGATATATACTCACTCTTTGACTTCAGTGCTAATCACTACAACTAAAATACCTGGCCAACTACATGCTCATGTTGCCATCTATCACTTATCTTTACAGTCTTCTAAATGTATAATGGACCTATTTCTCAGTATGCTTTTGATACAGTTTAACTTTAGTGTTCTCATTGCTAATATTGTAAACTCACATGACAGTGCAGACAGTATCATGAAACTATGTACAGGAAAGCATCAGTTTCTATTCATTAGGGATACTTGATTCTCAAGCCATCAATTTCATCAAAATTAAAAAGCTCTCCAAGAGATGACAAAAACTGTCCTTTGATTAAAAACATAGCGTAGTGTTTACTGTGTTTAAAACTTGGGGTAAAAGCTACACAGTTGGCCATTCTTAAACGGCAGTTAAAAACATAAAAAGCTCCTTCCAGAATATGTGAGACTAATGTTCAAATAAGTAGATTTAGGTAAAGTATTCTGTAAGATGAGGAAGTTTCTTTGAATTCTGGGTAGAGGGGTGAAACTTAAGCCAATGGCTCTTTAATCTAATGAATACATTCAAAATTATTTTTTAAAAAGCTGTAAGCAAAACATAGAACTACTGATATTAACTGGCTATAGTAGCTTAGTATAAAAAAATCCATTCAGACTTAAATAAGACTAGGTGAAGTCAGGAAATTTAGATTTCAGTAATTAAAAATATTAAAACAAAAACAACCAATACACACAAGAGAACCAGAAAAAGTTCCTTTTCTAATCTACTGCTATAATTAAAAATAGATCTAAAATTTGGAAAACAAGCTAAAGTTAAGAGGCAACAATCACGACCCATGTTTTTGTATAAAAGGGTTTCTTTATGATGCGGTAAAATGTGAGCAAACTAATTGAGGGAATAAGAAGCTGCCAGTGGACACAATCCCACAGCCGTTCTTGGCGTGTGTCTTATTTTGTTCAATATAGATCAAGTAGCATGAAGAACTATACCCAACACTAAAATGTCTGATAGTTTCTGCCCAACATTAAAACATTTTATGCTTTATTTCCAAATTAGTATGGACTCCCTCTACCCTACCCCCTATCAAATACATCATTTTTGGCTTACTGGGCCAGTTACGGTTTTTTTTTTTTTTGCCAACACACAAAAGCTGAAGCTCCACGACAGCCTTAGTCAAAGAAAAGGACAAGCAAACAGAAAGCAGGGCAAAAGGAATGGTAGACATTATCCAGAAATATAGCTGGTCTCTTTCTCTCTCAACTTTCCCATCCTCTCCCTGTCCATTACCACCATGCTGAACAGTAGTTGCAACAGAAAAAAAAAACTGAATTCTTCAGAGTCAATGTGAAAGAGGTCAGCGATATAACAGCAGCGATTGGACAAAAAAAGAACAAAACATTGGATCAATAAAATCTGAAGTATTTTGTTCAATAAAATGTTTTCCTCTCTGATCATAAGCCAAGATGCCTTTATGATACAGGCTCGTTCTCAACAACAGGTACATGTCTTATCTCCTTAGATCCTTCAAAGATTTCAAATTCCATCTCCCCGAGGCCCCTATAACCAAGTAAGAAAGCTTTCTTTATCTAGCTTGGTGGCTGCCAACACAGATTCCATGTCATTAAGGATATCGGAGCTCAAAGCTTCTTGTAGGCTTGGCATCAGTTCCTCTCCTTCTATATTCATTGCATCACCTTCCAGTGTTCCAAGGTCCACATTAGTCCCCGGAATGGCTTCAAGGTAGTCTGGAAAACGGTTCTGATGGGAGGGGATGGTGCTTTGGTTGATAGTGTCACCTAGATTCAAAATAAATGCAAAGCAGGGCATTAAGCATATATATTTAAGTTGCTCTAAATATTGGTCATTTGAAGCCACTCCCACCCTATGGAACATCAGCACAACATCTTGTGCTCATAATCATAGAGACCCCTCCCACTGGGACAACTCCTTTGAAGAAAGGAAGGCATCAACTGATAGTAACAACAACTGCCAATCCATGTTGAGAAAACTTGCAACAACTGTTGCTCAAGGAAAAGATAATCTCTTCTGAAACTGCCAGCAACCCACAATAAAAGATTGTAAAAGGAGGGTTATCAATTTAAACCCTGTACTGGTTTTTTCCCGTCCCTTTCTTTTAGCATGTTATTTAGATTGTAAAACAGAAAGTGGGACTGTGTTATGACTGATCTTGTAGGACACTCTGGAAAACTTTTCAAGATTAAAGTAAAACTAAAATAATAAAAATTGTTTTATAAATAATACAAAAGGATTAAATAAACATTATAAGATGCATAATTGCAACCAGAGTAACTTTCAATAATGTTTCTTATCCATGTGAAGGGAAATATGGAACCTTAAAAACTGAAGCCATAGGGACAGGCTGGAGCAGTAAATTAGGAAATAGTTCAGATTTGCTGCTTAAAAATATCCAGGCTATTTTAAACTAAAGATATTTCATATCTTTATATTCATATTTGAGCACATAATTGAAGAAGATATAATATAATATTGTTGTCAAAATCATTACAAATCCATAGTGTTTTTCTCTCTCTCGTTACAAATGATATTTCATAGAAAAGAAGATTTGGGCAGAACTCTGTGAGACAAATAGCTGAATTCCTTGTTCATGGAGGGAAGTGATGTCAGTGCACCTTTCTGCCTCCTGGCAATTCCACTATCTCACTCATATCTATTCTACTGCAGCTAACCCACCTAACTTACTGCTAGTTAAACTAGGTCAGGGATAGGCAACCTTGGCTCTTCTATGCTGGCTCAGGAATTCTGGGAGTTGAAGTCCACGAGTCATAAAAGAGCCAAGGTTGTCTACCCCTAAACTAGGTACATCAGTCAGAAAGCAACTGGAAGGAGCTGTGCCTCACCTGTATCCATTTCATCAACACTATTAAGGAAGTCATCCGGAGTTCTAGGAATACTGTAACTGCTCATGCTGAGGCCACTGTCTGTGCTCTCATCTCTGGAGTGATATGTTCCACTGCAAGGGAAATGTTATGTTAATTTAAGTTACTGATGGAAAGAACAGCCAGTATTTATCATCAAAAGGGTTCATTTTCATAGTCAGGGCTGAATTATGTTCTCTCCGTAAAATTACACCTTAAAAAAAGTCTGTGAAGGAGAATTCTTTAAATGTTCAATTCTGCAGGTCTCAATTCCCACAATGCAGCATACAATACAGCATGTGGCATCCATTCCCAGCACAATCAAGTTCATCCACAACCTTGACTAATCTTTGCTGCCACCACATAAAAACCCTGTGTTTCTCAAACGCTATGATACTGCAATCTTCTGAAATGGTAAATGAGTTTGTGACTCTCAATAAAAAAATTAATAAATTCACAGGAGTTAGTAATAACAGAGCTCCACTAGGGCAACATTTTTTTAAAAGTTGGCAATGCCTTCTAATTTGCTCATGTGTTCTTCAGAGTTTTAATCTAAACATGTTTCTAATTTGGTTTGAGTCAATTGACTGAAGCAGTATAAAATTTGCATAAATAAACAAAATTTAGTTTACATACTATTATACTACTGACTGCCCTGCTGCAAAAGTGTGCAGATAGTCCTCGACTTACAGCAGTCCATTTAGTGATGGTTCAAAGTTACAACAACACTGAAAAAAATGACTTATGCTCTTTTTTCCACACTTACAACCGCTGTATGGTCATGTGATCAAAATTCAGATGCTTAGCAACTGGTTCATATTTATGACGGTTGCAGTGTCCCGGGATCCCCTTTTGCGACCTTCTGACAAGCAAAGTCTATGGGGGAAGCCGATTCACTTAACAACCATGCTACTAACTTAACAATTGCACTGATTCACTTAACAAATGTGGCAAGAAAGGTTGTCAAGTGGAGCAAAACTCACTTAACAAATGTCTCGCTTAGCAACAGAAATTTTGGGCTCATTTGTGGTTGTAAGTCGAGGACTACCTGAATGCACTTGTTCCACAATGGCTGACATTTTAACTATAACATACACAGACATATCGCACACACAGGGGCTTCAGATATATTCAGAGTTTAGTTATGGTAGTCAGTATCCTTGAAGTTAGAATTTTGTAGGACTGCCACTGAGAAAATTTTGAAAATAATATTTATATGATAGTAGAACAATGAGGAATGCCCTTGAGAAATGACACATTTCATTAAAAAGTAATAATTTTCTTCTGTGATTATGTTTGAAAAATAAGAATCAAGTCCTCAGGTGAAGCAATATCCAAATAACCAACAATGGTTTCTTTTCAGTTGTTTGTGTGTATTGATATCCCATTTTAAACCTTAACTATTCAATAAGGGCTAGAAGCATTAAACATACAACACTGTTAACAAGTAACCAGAGGCTGCATAAATTAATACCAGAAAAAAATAACCTTGAAATATGATATGCTAAATCCTATCACCATTTCCTGTGTGTCAATGCTGTAAAGAATAAAATTAAAACCAGGAATGCTGCAAACTCCTTTAAGAGAGCCCCACAGCAAGTTCACTGCTAGCTTTTGAAAAGGTTTTCTGAGTCAGTAATTTTAAATGGCGGTGCATAAATTGACTTGGGCCTGGGACAACATGTTATGACTTTGAAGACAAATCTTTCCTACAATTCTGAAAGTTGACTTCCACAGCTCTTAATCTTCAGCTTTTTTTTTGGGGGGGGGGGTTGTGAATGTGAGAGTGAACTGGATTTGCCCTGGAAGAAAAGATCTTTTTACAGCTGTGGTTCTTGGAACAGACCAAAGTCCCAAACAGATGATTACATAAACCAAACACAATTTGAAAAATCATTAGCTTTTTGGTGAAATGAAGCTACTCTCCTAGCTACTGCCACTAACCTGTTAAGAAAGGGATCTGAGCTATTTGTGGTCATTGTTCTCAGTTCTTGAGACATTCCAGGAGAGGAAACTCGATTCTGGGTGCCATCTTGTTCCATACTGGGAAGCTGACTACGGAGCGCCAATTCCTGCCAATTAAGAAATGATTGTATTCATAACTCACATGCAAGGTTCAATGCTCATTTGCAACATTGGAGGAAGATACTATTTGTTTGGTGCTAAGCTATACTATTTCAAAAAGTTATGACAAGTCTCTTACCAGTTATCAGTGATTATTTACTAGTCATGGTATTTTTATGTGCTACTACCTACATCAGTCACATGGGTACACCTCTGAATATCAGCTGTTGGGGAAATTAAATGGGAAGGTACTAATGTAAAGTACTCATCTCCTACTTCTAAACTTCCCAAGAGGCATCTGGTTGGCAGATGTAAGAACAGAATGATGAACTAAGTAAATCTGTGATCAGAGCCAGCAGAACTCACAGACTTATTGCTACGCTCTCATCCATTTATTTCACTTTCTTAGCATCTGGATGCCTTTCTTTATACATACACACACTCCTTATCGGGGTACAATGAAAAATAATTTGAGAAACAACTTAAATGGTGGGGTTGGAGAAAAAAATAGATCAAGACACCTGCAGGAAAAAGAAACTGAGACCTAACAGGAGGGATGGGCAAGTCAAAGACAATGTGAATGGTAATGACACAGGAGGTATTTCGGTTCTTATGAAGTGTAAAAAAAAACAACACCAGGATTTGCTTTGCTAGTTTAAGAGACAGGAAGGGCCAGTTTAAATGATGGGAAGGGCCTTGAAAGTTTGCCAAAGTTCTGCCACCTGAAACATAGGAAGTTACCTGGTGCTGTCAGCAGCTTTAGAAATGGGGACATGCGCCAACAGGTTTAATGGGGATTGTGAGACACCATCCTTCAATGGCTCCTCAAATATTACTCACCTTGATTCGTAATAAATGTTAGCATGGCTCTTAACTTACACAACAAGGAGAAAGTAATTCATAACTGCCCACTATTTTCAACATTTCACTCATGAAATTAATGTTTTCAGAATAAAAGATAACACTGGATGGAAACAAGACATGTGCACAGTTCTGTTTTAAATGCAGCTGAATAAAAAAGCACTGTAACATGATTTATTAATCATGAAATTAACATACAGTATATAATCCAACGCAAGGTTTTGAAACTTGATATTTCAATTCATAAAGTTATTGTTTGACTATGAAGTTTGGAAAAATCTGCCTGGTAATTGTTATTTCTTCATTACTTAAAAAAACATAGTTAAATGTTTCTAATTGCCAATAAGATTTAACACTTTTGTTAGTACACAATTTTTAACACTAAACTTTATAAACCAAGCTAAAATAATCCATCAAATCCATAGAGAAACTACTATAAGGAAGTATTTAGACTTCTGAATACTGTCCAACTGCACTTTAAATGCTATTTTTTGAGTCAGAAATTCATAAAATTTATTGCTAATCTTGAAATATGTAATAAGATTATTTTAACATTTTCTGTCCTTGAAAGTGAAAATCTTATATTTTATAGTAATGTAAATGTTTTATAGGATCAAATCCAAAGATTTCAAAAAGGATTAGTTATTAAATCAGCAAATATTTGGCAATGGAAGGTACTGCAATAGGATTATGCTGGAGAGCAGTCTAGATTAAAATACAGTTATCAGTTGTAGAATACAAATATAATTCCAAAACCTCCTATTAATAACATAATTATTAAATAATTTATATATGTTTGTGACAATTGTTTATAGGCCATATCCCATATTCATTTAATTGTTTGTACATGCCATTAAGCCTTCTAATACACACACACACCCCATATTTATGCTTTTAATTTCAGTAATTTTTCCATTTCACTAAAGTTGTCAGAGTGACTTCAGAAGTGAAGGTTAATAGCTCATTCCTTACAATATCATACAAAAAGATTTTGATTTCTAGTGTTCCAGTGTTCTTTTTCAATAGTGAATTTATACTACATCACAATATAGTAGTTTGCTGAACAGAAACCATCTGGCTGGTTTCACATAACATGCTAAGTTACAAACCATGCTTTACGTACCTTAGCGTGTACATTTGTGCAATACTCTCAGTCAAAAACAAAGTAACCTCAGAATGGCTTAGTGCAATGTATAAATGCAGATAATTTCTGTCATCTTTAAATTATTGTTGCATATAATGGATAATTCATAATACCACTGATCTATAGCTATTAATGTGACCATTTTCTGAGACTGCTTGATCTTTTACACATCCTATTTATTTATGAACTCTATCAAATTGAGATATATAAGATTAGAAATAATAAATGACAGATTTATTAAGTGTATGGCAGTAATGTATTCATTTCCATAAATGTAAAATGTGTCATGAGGGTTCAGATTCTGATACCATGGACAATAATGTGACTTCATTGTACTGGCACAACATTATTTATTTGGGATGTATTTTCTGGAATATAAAAAAGTTGCAGGTTAAAATAAAGTTCTATGTGAAAAAAAGGAGTATTTGCAAAAGAGAAATCTCCATAAATTTAAAATAGCTTTTTTTAAAAAGGGGTTAAGAGCTAGTAATAGTTTACCAGATAAGGAATACAAATTAAAACTGAAAACATTATTATTACAGTGCAACACTTTTTCTCAGTACCTGAAGTCTACTGATTTGGCTTATTACTGATTTTTCTTTTTGATATTGTTAGTTGCCCATAGTTGCTTGGTAAGTAGGCGACTATATCTACTGAATAAAAAAAACACATTGAAGTTCTAAACTACCATGGGTATGCTTTTTATATTATTTTTATCATATAAATTATAATATGATTATAATATAAACTATATTATTATAATATAAAATGTTTTATAATATATTTTATATTATTTTTATAATTTTCACTTTTTTATTTCAATGTAGACGTTAATATTATCAATCAGAAGCAAGTGAGTATAAAGTTTACAGTCACCAAATATGAATGGAATCTTTCAAATGACTTTTAACAGAACTACAGAAGAGTCATAGTTTCCACAGGCTAAAGAATATTTAGATTCAAGCCAAAATAAATCTATTAGGCTGCTGGCCCCTTTATTTTTAGAGGCTTTTCTAGACATTGACACCACTCTAGTCTTGGTGTTCCAGAGGCCCTGGAAGTGACCAAACAGGTGTCGCATAGACATACTTGAATTTCAGGATCTGACTGCATTTGAACATGGACAAAATGTTAAGGGTGGAGTTGAGAAAAACAACACTGAAACAATGACAAAAACAGGCTTATTGTGTAGTGGAATCAAAGGAATATACACAGGACTGGCAAGATTGCAATCCTCAAATTGCTGTTCAATTCATACAGTTTCAAGGTATTCTGGGGCAAGTTTTTTCTGTTAGATGCGCTATTAGTTATCAACTAGTCCTTTGACTCATTAATCTGCTAAATTATTTTTAATCAAAAGAACCTGTGATCTCACATGAATCTGCAGCCTTGATATTACTATTTCTACAAGTAAGCAACTCCCAGGAATAATTAGAAAGAAGTTAATTGCTGCTATATCATCAGAACCAACTTTCTCTACAATGGTTTCATTGCTGAAATGAGCTCTAAGAATTTTTCACTAGATTATATGCTTTAGCAGTCAGATTATTGCTTCTAATAGACTAAAAGCATACACTCTCAATGTTATACATAACCATACAGGTAGGTATCTTGCCCTAAAACAGGAGTTCAGGTAATACAGCTTCATATTTTGTATAGCAAAAAGTAAGAAAGCAAAACAAAAAAATTAATTTCAGATTAAGATTGTAGTCCTCTGGAATCCAAGACACTGCTGGCTTCTCCCAGTTTGATATTACATATTTGAATAAATGGACAGATAAATAATCAAGAATCCTACCTTAAACTTTCAGAAGTTTATCCAGAATTAGAGATTATGAACAAAAATAACCAATGGTTCAAGCAGGTAAACATAGTAACAATTAAGATTACATGCGATATTATTGTTCATTCTTTTGCTTAAGAATCTGCAACTTTTATGAGCAACAATTTAAAGGCTGCGTTTTAATTAGGTAAGAAAAGATAAAATATCCAAGTCAAACTCCGTTATTGGTGATTTGATGTTCCATGTAGTTTTCTTGGCAGCAATACGGAATGGGTTTGCCACTGCCATTTTCTGAGATAATCACAATTCCAGAGTCTTACATATAATTCAGCAACTTCTTGATCCTACATCCAAACACTAAGTAAATGTAATCCAATTAGCTTTTTGAAATCAGCCAAGATCAGGCAAATATTGTCTTCTAAGCACTTACAGTATTTCCTAAGTCCAAAATTTGTCCCGCTCACATTGATTTTGAAGTAACACGAGACATCAATAATGTCTACTTAGTTTCACCATTTGTAGATGCTTAATTGGACCAATCATCTTGCATGAAGCTACAACAGGAGCTTTTTCATACCTCTAGTTTATTTTTTTTAAGTCTGTTTAAATCAGGATTCTGCATGGCCGCCTGTAATATTTCTATAATCAACTCTTCTACATTCAGTTACAGATTTAGTATTCAAGCAATCCCTCCCATTAGTCCTGAACAGTGAACCCACAGCACTGCAATGTGGAATTAGTAGTATGTGCTTTTGAGGTCTGGCAACATTTTGAGCCACACTAGAGAAGATGGAACATCACAAGCAGACTTGTGATCATACGCACTTTTATTAAAAACATTAATACACATTTTGTCAGGAAATTCAACACAGATGAGCTCAGTGTTACACCAAAATCTTCAGAGAGCACACAGCCTCACTGTTGACAACAGCATAGTGAGTTTTTGAGGGGTTTAGTTCTTTGGTGCCTGAAATAATTCTAGTACTATGCTTTTAACTACATATAAATTGGGCTTAATTTGTTGGCCTCAAAAGGAGAACAGTGCAAATTAGCAGTTTTCTAGAAATGGTATTTTAAATTAAGTCCAAGTACAAAATTGCAAAGACATCCATCATACTGATCACTAACCAATTACCTATCTGCAACTGTCTCAACTATTTCAAACGATCTGTTTAAGATCAAGGCAAATCAGCTATTTAATATAATTGCCATATCGAGAA